ATTGAATGACTGAACTTAACTGTACTGAAACCTTTGTTGTTGTCGCTCAGCTGTGTCCAACTCTTTGCATCAGATGGCCAAAGTATTGGAGCTCTAGCCTCAGTATCAGTCCTTCCAGTGAATATTCAAGTTTAATTTCCCTTAGAATTGACTGGTTTGATCTCCTTGCTGTCCAAGGAACTCTCAAGGGTCTTCTCCAGCACCACAGTTCAAAGGCATCAGTTCGTCGGTGCTCAACCTTTGTTATTGTCCAGCTCTCACATTATTCGTACATGACTACTGGAAAAACCATAACTTTGAGTATACAAACCTTTGTAGACAAAGTAATGTCTCTGCTTTTTAATACTCTGCCTAGGTTTGTCATTGCTTTTCTTCCAAGGAGCAAGACTAATCCTTGCATCTCCTTATAACTAGAAAAGCATTAAATTCCTTCATGGTGACATCAGCTCCCCATCATGATTCTGTTGAACTCTCCCTTCACCAAAATCATATATATTGACCTTCCCCCACTACATCTTTGGAGCAGTTTCTCAGAGGTATTTGAGGTGCTGTTTTCTGGGCTGCAGTCCTCATTTTGCCCTCAAATAAAACTTAACTCGCAACTCTCACATTGTGCATCTTTTTTAGTCAACAAGCAGGGTGACATAAGTACCAACTGACACATATAGCATAGATTTAAAACACATTTCTGAGATTGTTTGGTGGCTGAAGTGGTACAGAATCTGCCTGCAGTGTAGGAGGTGTGGGTTCGATCCATGGGTCAGGAAGATCTCCTAGAGAAGAAAATGGCAACCTACTTCAGTATTCTTGCCTGGGAAAGTTCATGGACAGAGGAACCTGGAAGACTATTATTCATGGGGTTGCAAAGAGTTGGACATGACTGAGCGACTACATAACAACCATCTTTACACTATGTGTGGCAATCTGTTAGCAAGATAGTTTTAAAACTATATAGCAACATAAAAGATGTTTAGAGAAAAGTAAGTCATAAGCTACTACACTAACACAGAAACATGTTCTATTTTCATAAGCAAATATTGTATATATGGACAATTTTGTATCTTTTATTTATCATTAATTCATATCTTTCAGTGTTTGATTCCTTTTAAAATTTTTATAATCAGAAAGACAATCGGTAAGCAAGACATCTTGAAAATTAAAAATATATGATTGTCAAAGTTTTTTAAATTGTGAGCTCACACAAATTTGGTCAAAATAGAAATTATTTTTAAAGACATTTTAAAAATCTTTTACTTTTTATAAATGTTAGGCAAAGCCCATGCATTCATATTACCCTCACCTGGCACTCACCTTTGTGCTCAATTCTCCCTCGTTTGTTCCCCATACCTGATCCTTTCCACATCATGCCTGACTGTGAATGCGATTTGCATTTGTTTACTTCTCTAACTCTTCTTAAGACTAAGCCTTCATCATCTCTCATCGGAAATACTGCCTAGTCTCCCAACAGATATTCTGTTTTCACTCTTGCCAGCCTCTGAGCCATTCCATACACAGCAACCACGCTGATGTCTCAAAGATGAAGAACAAAGAGAGTCACAACCCTGCTTGGCCCCCTTCAATAGCTTCAGACTGCTCTCTAAATAAATCCAAGTCTTAAACTCAGCCTCTGAGCCCTGCATCTTCAAGCTCCTACTATGTCCTCAGCATCATCTTTCCACTCCTTGCTCATCCTTCCCTTGGATTTGCACATGGTGCTCCTCTGGCCTTGAACTTTTCCCCAGCACTCTCTTCTTGGTTCTATCTCATGGTTTAGGATTCAAGTTAAGTGCTGCCATTTTCTTTCTCTCACCACCACATCCATTCTCTCCACAGTACCTATCATGTGTGATTGCATATATACTTATTCACGTGATTGTCTTTGTTTCCGCCCCAGGCTCTAAGCTACATGAGACCAGGACCTTCACTTTGCTAGAACATTCCCTCTCACAGAGCAGGCCCTTGGTCAATCTTGACTGAATCAATGAATGAGTGGAATGTACAGTAGGACAGTTTTCCTCAAAAGCTTGCAGATAGCCACAGAAGAGATCTGTTTTTCAACTCATGTTCTGATTCAGTAGATCTGAAATCTGGCCTGAGATTTGGTGTTTCTGACAAGTTCTTGGGTGACATCAAAGCTGCCAGTGCCTTATTCACATTTTAAGTGGCAAGGTCAGAGGGATTATAAAGATGAATGATAGTGGTGTTTGTCCTTATGATCTGGTAAAGAAGTTGCCTCAGAAAAACGGTCTACAACACCACAACTATCATGACTTTCATTGGTACAGGAAACCTGTAAGACCTGAAACTGTTTGAAATTGGTGTCAACGTTGATCTTACCCCGACAGTACATAAAACCAACATAAAGAAATGTCTAGCTATAATAAAATCATTCAGTTATAATAAAACAAAAAATTTATAAGAAGCAATTGGTAATTCAGTCTATAGGAATAGAGATGCTTTTTTCACAAAGCAGTAAATATCATGGGACAGACAGATGGGAATTTGAATTTCATTTTGCCCTTGAGTAGTTGAGCAACCTTAAGTGATTTATATTCTCTGAATCTCAGTTTCATCATTTATCAATCAGGGCAAGTGATATCCACCTTAGAGATGAGCAGATGAAGTGGGTCTCTCATATCAGTTAAATAACTGTGCCTGGTATCTGGTAGCCCTTATCAGACTCCTGTTCCTTCCTTAGGTAGAACATTTGCCTTATAACATTAATTTCCCAGGGGGAGAGAGAATCAATTTGTGAGTGTATGTTTGGCACATTTACCATCTCAGAGGGAAAAAAAAGTTAGGAAAACAAATAACTATGCAGATTAAAAGCAAGCATTTTGGCTTAAATGAACACCAGACTGTGAATTAGAAAAGCAAAGATGTGGTCCAGGATTCAACACAAACTAAATGTGAGACATCAGACATATTATTTGACACCCCTGGCCTGGGCCTCTGTATTATTTCTAAATCATTGTATGTGCATACATGCATGCTCAGTTGCGTCCAACTCTATGTGACCCCTACCAATTGCAGCCCACAGTCCATGTCCGTGGAATTTTCCAAGAATACTGGAGTGGGTTGCCATTTCCCACTCCAGTGGATCTTCCTGACACAGGGATCAAACCCACGTCTCCTGAGTCTCCTGCATTGAAATGCAGACTCTACCACTGTACCATTTGAGAATCTCCCAAAGTTTCTGGTAAGGAATTGTTAAAAAGAGGTGATTAAAAGTATCAACAAATATGTTTATTTGCAAAGAATGAAGCCAGGGACATTGAAGCACCTACTTGAATTCAAATAACCCAAGGGCTTAATTCTATGAATATTCAATACTATGTTGAGGTATAAAGGCAAGGTATATAGGAAAAAAGACATAGAAGAGAATTGAAAGCCATTTATAATGAAGCAGGAGGATTTGAAGCATAAAAGCAGTCATTTCCAATACACAAATTAATTTTTCAGCATTTAAGTAGAGAGATAACTTCACAACTCTAGTCAAGCAGTTTTTTCACTCACTTTTTTCATTATTACATAGAAATGTTATAATTATTTTAAAAGATTTATAGATTTATTTTTTATTTTCTCCAAATTGTTCCTATTTTCTGTATTTTTAAGACATATTTAAGTTAATATTCTAAGTTATGACAACTTAAGAACATATATAACAACTAGAATTCTGACTGTCAGTGAAAATGGGCATGTCTGTATAATCTAGAAAAGATGGAAGTTCTCCAGATAAATTTTAAGCTCTCTGATTTCATATATTTCTTTAAAACTGAGTAATATAGTTTGAGGGTGTTTATGAAGATCTTAGGAGGAAAGAAACTGTTTTCCAATCCTTGTTCTAGTTACAAATGAATCTGAAATTTCAGTATTTTTTTTTTTTAATTCTGAAAGGGAATGTAAAAATCACATGATTTAGAAGACTAATGATTTCCTGTAAGAAGATAACTAATGTATTTTACAAAGTGTACACAATGATTTTGGGCTTCCCAAGCAGCACAATGGTAAAGCATCTGCTTGCCAATGTGAAAGACAGAAAGAGATGGGGGTTCAATCCCTAGGTCCAGAAGATCCCCTGGAGGAGGAAATGGCAACTCATTTCAGTATTCTTGCCTGGAAGATTTCATGGAAGAGAAGCCTGGTGGGCTACAGTCCATGGGGTTGCAAACGGTCAGACACGACTGAACATGCCACACACACTACTAGAAATTTCTCTTTAATCCTTGAAAATTCACTCTGGTATTTTACAAAGATGGCAAATTCAAACTTCTGCTGTGTGTGACACACCATTAACTCCACCAAGATACTTTCTTGGTTAACATTCACTGATGCTAGGTTAGCATCAGTGATGCTAGCAATGTTAATCTGGCAATAATGCTAGGTTAACATTCACTGATGTGTTAACATAATAATGACCCACCTGCTATTCCTATCTATAAGGCTCTTTCTCTCTGTAAGGATGGAAACTAATGACAGAGTCTCTCTGAACTGTCTGATGTCAGAGCTAGAAAAGGTGTGAAGGGTATATATGAGCTAGACTACTGGCTAGCAGGTTGGGGGGTAAATGCTCCAGTGGATAAAAGCTTGAGGTTTTCCGTGAAGCTTCCTTGTTAACAAAGGCATTTTCTGATATTGCTGACACTGAGACACTAAAAGGTAAGGAATTTTCTGTGTCTAGCATACTATTATTTATTTAGCATTAGAACAAATTTGGGATTAAATGTATGGCTTATTTCAAAGGAAGAGTAAAGAGATAATGTATAATGATATCAGTTTTCTAGATTGTTTTAGAAGGAAACTGGGTGAAGGAAAATTTTGAAAATATTTGAAAATTACATGAACAGTCTGAGCCATATCAATAAAATTATGATCCTTGGACATTATGTTTTTAAAAGATTTTTTAAAGTAGGCTCTAATTTAATATGTCATTAAACAAAGCTACAGTAGATTTCATGATTTTAGAGCTGAATTATTCTTTTCAGAAAATTTGAGAAGCAATGGGCATTTTGAAGCTGCCAGTGGTTCTCATTGTGCTCTTTGTTGCATTAAACCATCTCGAAGGCGGTGGTAAACCCACTGAAAGGTTAGTAACTTGAATTTCCGAGTTTCTTTTGAAAGTATGAAAAAATTATAATCAAATACTGCTATGTAATTAACGGCCCTTGTGCCATTAGATTTCTAAGTCATATTTAAGAATAGTACATTAAGCTCTTCCACTGTTTCTTAAATTCTGTCTTCTTTAAAGAATAAAGTCCATCTGATAAATCTCTCTGATGAAATTTCTGACAGACAGGAATGGATAGTCTCAGCTTTGTCAAGAAATATGCTATTGGAACTTAAAGGATCAGAACCAGAACATGAAGCAAGAAAACCCAAAAGGTAGTAACTTCTACTATACTAATCCAATTCTCAAGCAAACTAGGAGAAACTCAAAGTATATATTTTATATGAGGTGGAATTTTGCTTTGTGCCTATATAGACTTATTTTTCTCAGCTCTGGCAATATCCTGAACTTTCACATCTCTTTCTGGAAATCTAAGTAGGAAATAATCAAGTGGCAAATTAAATCTGCTAAGAAGTTAAATTTAGAAGATCCAGTTAAAAAGCCATTAGTCTTTAGGGGATTCTTTCTATATTGCTAACTGCTCTGTTAATAAAAGAGAATTATAATTAAAATATTATTCTTCATGAGACTACTTCCAAGATGCTCTAAATATAAATTAATATTTCTTGAAAATGTTTTCAATAAGTAGCATGTGCATCAGGTTTTTTTAAAAAAAGCTTATTTTGAAAGGTATCTTTTATTTGAATGATACTTTTAAGGAATTTTAGAAACTGTGAAGGAAGGGTGAAAATGTTTGCAGTATTTACAACTTTCAAATGGAAAGCCTTTAAAAGTGTTATTATCTACTTATTAAAAGAGGCTTAAGTCCATAGGTATACATATAGCCCCTCCCTTTTGAAACTCCCTCCCATCTTCCTCCCCATCCCACCCTTCTAGGCTGATTCATGCTGAGGTTTGACAGAAAACAGTAAAATTCTGTAAAGCAATTATCCTCCAATAAAAAATAAATTAATTTAAAAATGCTATATAAAAAAAGCCAAGTCCAAATTCATGCATGTGTCATAATATGAAGATTTGCTTGTGTCTAAATAGGTTTTGAGTCCATATGGTTTTATAAAACTGAATTTATGCTCCCTTGAAGACCAAAGAGAATAAGTTTACTCATGAAAAATCTTTGCTTTAAGTCATATTAGAACTCTTCTCATAGAATTATCAGCATTTTGTCTATTTTCCTTCTGGGTGTTTTTTGTTGAGGTGGAGGTCCTTTGGTGATATATAAAGGTTTCTAAAGCACCTATGTGTAATAGATTGTACACGTAGATTTTTTTTCCCTTTCATTTCAAGGCTTACCTAGTTTACAGGACATTCTTCTCAGAACTAACTGTAATGTTAATGTTCAATTGGTTTTCTCCTGGATAAAAACAACTTTAAACCTGCCATGAAGTTTCTGGTAAACTAGCAGAACATTTGAACAATGACAGAAATTTAGTGATATTATGTAGTATTTCTGTCTATATCTTGATCTTTTCTTTCATTAGATATATTCATCTGCTAGCTATTTTTACTCAGTATGTTTTTAAGGAAATTCATTTATTATGAGGTGAATTTCACTGAGAAATAAAATAACACATAATGTTATTTATTAATGATTATATTTTCATTCTGGTCTCACAATCTTTTTGAATTATTAGAAATATTTATAAAATATTCATCAACTACTTTTCAGGAAATTGAATTTCCTGGAATCAGTATATTTGGTCAGTTTTTTGAGGAGAAGGAAGAATTTAACATCCTGAGCCATTCAACCATATAATATTCTATGAAGCTCATAAAAAGCTGAGAAACCCTAGGTAGAAAATATCTCAAACTTTGAACACCTTTAAAAAATAAAGCTGATGAAGATTTATTCTTAAATATTGTTTTTTCACAAAAATCAGTCATCTCATTTGAGACCTTTTTCAACTTTTATACCTGCATGGGATGGGATTAAGAAGTAACAGAGTTTACAACCCATACCAAAACATGGTTATGTTACTTGACACTCATGAGCGAGGCAGAAGGATCCCACATTTGCCCACCAACTTTTTAAGACTCAGTAGTAAATAAGGCTCAGTAGTATCTGCCTGGCAGATAGTAAGAGAGCAACCAAAAGTATAATTACATGAGTTTCAAGCTAGAGTCACTGAACACTCCCTTTAGAAACTCACATACCTCCACAGACAACTATTAAGAGCTGGGATAAGGGACCCATTTAAAAACTGTTTCAACAGATCACCATCCCAGGTTGGATGCATGAGACAAGTGCTTGGACCTGGTGCACTGGGAAGAGCCAAAGGGATCGGGTTGAGAGGGAGGTGGGAGGGGGGATCGGGATGGGGAACACATGTAAATCCATGGCTGATTCATGTCAATGTATGACAGGGGCCACTGCAATATTGTGGAGTGATTGGCCTCCAACTGGTGAAAATAAATGAAAAAAAAAAAAAGAAACTCCAGAACTGAAGACAGACCTAAGCTAGGGTGACAGAAAGCAGATCAGTGGGGTGAGTGTGGGATTGACTCTTGAGTCTCAGGAAGGAATTTTCTGGAGTGATTGAGGTGGTGGATACAAGACTATATACATTTGTCAAAACTCAACAAATTCTACACCTAAAGTGGGTACATTTTATTGTAGGTACAGTTAATTCAAGGTTGATTTTAAAATTTAAAAATTTTTTCCATGAAAGTTTTGTTTCAAATAGCTATTTCAAATAATATATTTTAATGTTTCCAAATGAAGCCCACTGATTTCAGAACCATTTGGTTAATACCAATCTCTGAGATTGAGGCATCATGACTGGTGCTTAATTCTGGATTTGCATCATCTCTAAGTGTGTTCTCTAGCATATGGCCATTAAAAAATATTGAATGACAGAAAAAAATAAATAAATAATAAAAACTGTTTCAAAAGCCCCTGAAACTGAGATGTTTTTAAAGAGAGACAATTTAAGAGTTAGAATTTGGCCTATAATTACCACTGTTTATATTCTCTTCTTATTAAAGTATAGTTGATTTACAATGTTGTGCTACTTTTTCATGTATAGCAAAGTGATTCAGTTATATATATACATATATACATATATATGTATTCTCTATATATATTCTTTTCTTTTTTGTGTTCTTTTCCATTATGGTTTATTACAGGATATTAAACTTATTTATGAGACAGAAACAGATTCAGACATAGAAAACAATCTTATATTGTGAGTGAGGGATAAACTGATTTGAGATTAGCAGATACACACTACTATATATAAAATAGATAAACAACAAAGTCCTACTGTATTGCTCAGGGAACTATATTCAATATCCTATAATAAGCTCTCTTAAAGCCAAGAATTTCCAGGTGTGTGAATGGTCATAGCTTTAAACTAGCATTTGTTATTAGCTGGTGGGTAGGCTGGTAGGCCATGTCTGCCTGATAATCAATGAGGGAAAATACATAAAAGTTGGGGTGTTGGGCCTTTCACTAACCAACTCAGTCAACTTTCTCCATCTTAATGATAATTTGGGATATATCCTGACTATCATAATTACATAAAAATTCCTGTTTGGGAAAGCAGTTTCACAAGTATGAAACCAAAAAACATAAAAGTTCTTTGTATTTCTTTAAAGTAGAATCATGACCCTCCTAGCTAACTCAAATTAGATAATATTTTAGTTAGAATAATTTTAAATCCTATTACAGACCTTGAGATCAATTATCAAACATTCACCAATTATCACTGAGCACAAAGAGTATTTCACATTCTGTTCAAGGCATTCACCAAATATATCCTGGAAAAGAAATCCCTTTGAACCTTCTCAATTTGACCCACATTTATTACTTTAAACTTATTAGTTTGAAGTGTTTGTGTCAAATTCTGATTACTACTGTTTTTCAGGAAAAGTTTATCACCTTTTAGAATTGAATGTTCAGTGAATGAATTGCTGGTTCAATCTTTATAGGAGCATTAAATCATTCTTTGAAAAGGCACATTGGCCTTGCTTACCACACATGAAAAAGAAAAAGTTAAAGAGATAATATGAATAAGACTGATATATAAGCCAGGAAATTAGGCTTCTGTGGGCTTGCCTCAAGGCTCAGTCGATAAAGAATCCTCCTGCAATGTAAGAGACCTGGGTTCAATCCCTGGGTCAAGAATATTCCTGCCTGGAGATTCCATGGACAGAAGAGCTTAGTGGGATATGACCCATGGGGTTGCAAAGAGTCGGACACAACTGAATGACTAACATACACAACCTAAGCTTCTAGGTGTGTTTCCTTTGCCTGAGTAATTGGTTTGTCAGCATAAACTCATGCTCAACAGATACTCAGTTCATGTAATTCTGTAAGAAAAATTTTCTGTGGAGAATATCTGAGAGTATAAACCATAAAGTTTCACATGAATTTTTAAAATATTTACTCTTAGGCTATCTCTATACAAAGATACAGACAATGAAGTACTTCCCATACAAAATAAACACATTGAAATAAAAGCCATTGCATATTGCTTCAAATTATGTATATACACTGGCTTCTGGACATTGAGTTTTCAGCCTCCTACCCGTATCTCTCTCCCACTTTACATTTAATCAAAGTTTAACCAAGATTTTGGTTCTTACAGAAGTTGAAATTTCCCTAGAACTCTTAATAATCAGCAAAAAAGCAATCATTGTATGTATTTCCAGTACACTAAAACAAAAGATGGTACAAAAATATAGGATTGATGTAAATAAATTCTGTAAATACTAAGATTCAAATGAATTATTTACAGTTATCATTTATGACTTATCCATAATGTTATTATTATGCAATTTTTCCAGGTGGCTGAAGGAACATGATGAATATTAATACCATTGACACAAAAAGCCTTTGGTTTTAACATTTAACCTATCATTAAAATTGTTGAAAATATAGGAACATAGTACACAGCAGAGGCATAGTAAACTTCATGTATTTATACTAATAGTAATGGAATTCCCACACTGCAGTAGTTAGAGTGCCTGAATAGGTGATAAATTTTATTCCTTTTAAATAATATCTGACATTTCTCAACACTGCCAATTCAATGAAATCAGGAAACAACAAAAATTAACTAACACTGCTTAATTCTTGTCTGAAAGGAATGAGAAATGAAAATATATATGTGTAAATCTACATATTCCAGATTACATATGTAATTTGCAATTCAAGACCTTTTTAAAAAATTTGGGAAATAGATTGGTGGTGGTGGTTTAGTCACTAAGTCGTGTCCAACTCTTGAGACCCCGTGGACTGTAGCCCGCCAGACTCCTCTGTCCGTGGGATTCTCCAGGCAAGAATACTGGAGTGGGTTGCCCTTTCCTTCTCCGGGGGATCTTCCCAACCCAGGGATCAAACCCAGGTCTCCTGCTTTGCAGGCAGATTCTTTACCAACTGAGCTATGAGGGAAATAGATTAATCAATATTTAAAAGAATAGAAGACAAAAATTTTTATTATCATTATCTGGAATATATTCTGAATTGCCAAAGAAAAAGATTACACTGGGAAATTCAAAATTAACTGTAACGGAAGGTTAGCTATAAGATATCTAAACTGCATCTTCAAGGTGTCGAGAAACTCGATTAAATCATCCAAGTATTTTGCAAACCAAAACACTGATGTGAAGACGTTTCCTTTAATTTCCATCAACATGAGATATCTGATGCCACAGAGATAGGTGTGTCCAATCCTGACTCTAAGTTTCTAACCTTTCATATTTGTTCAGCGTCACCAGTCGTCAGACGGAAAAGCGGAAGAGCCGCACTGCCACTTGTGCGACTCAACGCCTGGTCAGTTTTTTAGCTCCATCCGGCAACAAACTTGGCGCCATTTTCTCACCTATGAAGGTGGGATCCAGTACGTATGGCAAGAGGAAAAAAGTTGAGATCTCAAAGAGAGAACCATTGAATTACCCATTTAGAGGTCAGTCTCCTCTACAGCTCTTATTGCTTTAATGTATTATATAACTACTCCAGGGATTTCCTTTGTTATTTAACAGTAGCTCTTCCGTTACTAGAATGAATATATGAATCTCTGCCTCCCATGTTTGTTGTTAATGCATATAAAATGCCATGTTAAGAATTGCTTAAATTAATACTGATTAAGATCCCATAATAAAAAGGCAGTGTCTTTAAAACTGAAATATTCTTGCTGTAGTGTTTATTTTTTAAATACTTTTTAAAAGTTGTTTCTTTTGCCTGTATCTTTATGACCTGAGTTTGAGAAAAGAGGAGAAAATGGTTGTTGGAAACTTGATAAATTGTAGATAGCTGAAAATAAAGTTATGATTATAAACATTAGAAAACTAGCAATTGTAAGTATCCTTGTTAAGCAATCCTTTTTTTGCATTAGATTTCCGAAATGACATAAAATGTTGTTTAAAAAAATAAAAGCCTGCTCCTGACTCAGTCAAAATACTTCTTTTTTAATTCTGTTTTTTGTACTTGCTGGTACTAAGAGGTTACTTCAAAATTAAAAAAGAAATGTCTCTGTACACACTGCTATATTTAAAATGGATAACTAACAAGGACCTATTCTATAGTACATGGAACTCTGCTCAATATTATGTGGTAGCCTGGATGGGAGGGGAGTTTGGAGGAGAACAGATACATATATATGCGTGACTGAGTCTGTTCACTGTTCACCTGAAACTGTCACAACATTGTTAATTGGCTATATCCCAAAACAAAATTAAAAGTTTTAAAATAAATAAATAAGACCAAAAAAAGAAAAAAGAAACAATGTTCCTGTGAGTTTTATTGTCTGCTGTTATCAGTGAGCTTATATTAAATGTATATGCCCTTTATTCTATTTAAGTGGTTTTCAGCAAATCTTAGTCACATTTTTATACAGAGTACTGCAAAATCGATATGTGTTTCTAGTAATTCTGTCTTCATTTAAAAGACTATAGACTTCTGGAAATCATGTACTGTATAGCCACTTATTTTCTTTGTTTAATTAATTGAACTTTTCTGGCAGAGTTTCCACATGTGTGATGTCCCCCCTCCCCTTTTTTTTTTTTTGAAGAAACCTGCGGTACTAGAAATGAAATGAAATATTTTGCTGTAAGTCAAATTCCTACAGGGTATCTGCTTTTCCCTGACTGTGAGTTCCATAATTCTGGAAGTATCATTAACTCATATCAGTGGCTATTATGCTGCATTATGCATTGCTCAGGGCTCAGCTTTTATTTTAAAAAATCTAAAAAAAAAAGAAGCATTTCAATCTTAGTGAGAATCCAGCTCACTGACTTAATTGCTACATTAAAATTGCTCCTCATAAAATTTACCTTAGATTATCATCTTTAGAGTTTGTTATTGTTGTTTAGTTGGTTGGTTTTTTCTCAGAGGGGAGGATATAGAGAAAACAGATGTTAGTTATAATGATTTTATGTCATGAATTGCATACTGAAATAAATGAGTGATTGAATTCTTTTTGTGATATTCAACTATTAGCCCCCTTTCAAAGTGGATATAAGCTCAACATTTTGAGAATCCCATGGACAGAGGAGCTTGGCAAGTTATGATCCATAGGGTCCCAAAGAGCTGGACACTACTGAAGCAATTTAGCACACATGCAAGGTACAATTGAATTAATCTCTTAAACTTACTCAGTTAAAAATTTTCCCATAATAGTCTACATTAAATAACAGCATTGCATCTCATATCTATATCAACTCCCCAATCAAGTCTGGTGAGCTACAGACCATGGGGTCGCAAAGAGTCAGACATGACTGAGCAACTTCACTTTCACTTTCAACCTATCTTTCAAGAGTTAATTAAATTTTAATGAGCTCATATAGTATTCAAGGACATTGTATATAGCAGTACACAATTCCCAGGTTTAAGACAAGAAGAATTAACATATAGTAACCCAACAACTTCTGGTGCTAAAGAATAGGATAGAGTTAGGGTTACTGTGTCACTTACTCCAAACTTGAGAAGGAAAGAGTTTATTACATTGATACAATAAATATAAATAGTTGATGTTATTGTAAAGTTTACTCATTATATTTATTAACAAAGTGAAACATTTGAACACACTCAGCATTCTTTCCTTCATTGGTATTCATAGACCAATAGAAATCTAAATATATAAAGGTTGGGAATGCCTTATGCCATGGAACATAACAAGTACTTCCCCTGGTCTCTCATAATTACCCTGTGAAAATAATTAGTTTTTCTTTATTGATGTAACTGATGATATCAACAGTAAATACTGGTGACTAAGCTTATTCCAACTCTTCTTATTGTGCCTGTGGTACGTGAAATCATAGGTGCTATTGAGTAGCCTTCCAAATACTTACATACATGCTGCAAATTAAATTTTATTGAAGATTTAGAAATACAAATGATCGTATGTTCCTGTTGCAATACTGACCCAGAACAAAGAATTGATTTTCTAAAACTTCCAGAAATTCTCTTGAGCATTGTGAGAGAACATTCTGCAATAAGCCTCTTATTCCTCTGAAGCCTGAATATCATTGTTGTTCAGTCACTAAGTCATGTCCAACTCTTAGAGACCCCATGGACTATATCACACTAGGCTCCTCTGTCCTCCACTATCTCCTGAAGTTTGCTGAAATTCATGTCCATTGAGTCAGTGACACTGTCTAACCATCTCATCCTCTGCTCCCCACCCCTTCTCCTCCTACCCTCAATATTTCCCAGCATTGGGGTCTTTCTTTTCCAGTGAGTCAGTTCTTTGCATCAGGTAGCCAAAGTATTGGAGCTTTAGCTTTAGCAGAAGTCCTTCCAATGAATATTTAAGGTTGATTTCCTGTAGGACTGACTGGTCTGCCCAAACCAGTCAATCTTGAATATCGTTACCTGGTAATATTATGCCAAAATGAAAGAATACCTTAGAAATGCCTGTGAGTCTAAACCCCCTTTGGCTGAGTGCAGGGAGAGCTTTTCATATAAAGTAGGAAAAAGTATTCTTTTTCTACCCCTTATCCTCCCTTTTACACACACATAACCCACAGTAATGGAAAAATCCATCTTCCTTACACTCACTGCATGTGTAACAGATACTGTTAGTGCTCACCAGCATCCTCTTCCTCCTGAGAATACAAGGGTGTGTAGTTCTCAGCCCCCTCATATTCAGGTGGTGCCATGAGGCTCATTCTGGCCAATGAAATATTAGCAGAAATGATGTGCGTCACATCTAGGCTGACACAATATGTTAAAAAATCAATGGGAAAATTTTCAGTCTTTCTCTTTCCTTTGCTACTGCAGTTCCTGAAGAGGTGTCCCTCTAGCTGGGACTCTGAGTGGCTTCGTGGAGGAAAAGATTCCCTCTCATCTGTCTTGGACATGGAGTGCAACCTAGAAATAAACTTCTGTGACATTATCTACAGCCTACCAAAACACACACACACACAATAACCAAAATCAATCAGTTAGGTAACCTTCATGATACCTAACTACCCTGCCAATACTTATCTCCTGACTCCATGATATCTAATAGTAGCAGAACCATTCTTCCACTATAATTCAACCTTGAATCTTAAAATTATCACCAAGTGCTCTAATTCCTTGTCCCACGCATTCAAATTAGTCATCAAGACACAGGTACTCTAAAGTACCTTCCTGTTACTAAGATATGTTTCTTCTTTCTTCTCGCAGTGCCACTAATACAGGTCCAGTCCTCCTGCAGCAGGCTGCTAAAATAGTTTTCAAACCTCCAGCATTTACTGCTATTCTATACATTGATACAGAACAAGTTGCAAATGCACATTTCTTACTACATCAATCTTTCTCTGCAAAGTTTTTCAAAGCCTTGTTATTACCTACAAAAATACATCAATTCCTTTCGCCTGACATTTAAGTCCTTTCACAAAGTAACCCCTATCCTCTTTTCAGCTTCTCCTCTTTTCAACCCCTATTCTCTTTTCATCATTTCATTTCCTATTCCTACACTCTACCAAATTCTCTGGTTGTTTTAGTTGTTTCTCTTCAATTGCTATCATCACATTTCCTCTTATTTCCCAGGCTCTGGCTCATTCCTCCATTCCCTCCAAATTGAACAACTATCCCACAGTGCAGCCTTTTGAAGTCCTTCAATGACAAAAACAGAAAAAGATTTCGAGACATTGAAGGACACCTCCCTTCCTCTACCCATTTGCTATCAAGACGGGTTGACTAAACAATGAAAATATGAAAAGTTAACATTACAGGGGAAAGGGTATGCTTGTATTTCTCCTGATAGATCCAACAAAATCAGTTGGCTCCCTCTTCGGAAGATCCACCCCACGGGAGCCACCAACATTCAAGGTAGAGAAGAAACAGCGTAATCCCCAGAAGGAAGGATTTCCAATACAAGCCATGGCGGCTTTAAAAATTTCCAAGAAACGCCACACTTGACGTCATTGAGCTTATGATCTCCCTACTTGCAGATAGATAAAAACCCTTACTAATCGAGCTAAAAATCTGGTTTCTCAACAGGGAATGCCTCGGAATCCTGAAAATATTTTTGTCACTCTGTTTGCTTTGCTTGCTTTTGCTTCCCCCTCTCAGGCTGACTTGATTGATCACACTTATTGGGCTTATATACCTAACACCCCCTTTTATTGTAGGCTGTAAAATGGGCAGATATAGGACCAATCGTACCCACTAATGACTCAACACATATGCCCCCTCCTTGGAGCTTGGAGGGGCCCTCTCATCCTGAGGAAGAAGGAAGACTAATTAACATTTCTCTAGGCTATGAAATCCTTCCTTTATGCATGGGCCCAACAAAATTACGTATTAATGTTAGTCAACAAACGTGGGCTTTCGTCCTGCCTCCAAAAAAAACTTCCACACATTGCTTGGACTGTTTACTGCCCTGTCCTTTTATGAAAACCATGTCAATACCAACAAAACTCTAGAGACTAAAGGACAAAAGTTAGAATGTAAGGGGTTTACTTACAAAGACTTTAAATATACTCCTGTTTATTGAGATAGATGTCAAG